AGTTAAGCCTTCAGTGGTTTGGGAGAAGAGTCATGGGTGGTAAGATTAAAATTGGCCACATGAAGCCGGGCAGCGGTGGTGCACACCTTTAATCCCAGCACTCAACAGGCAGAGCCAGGCGGATCTCTGTGAGTTCAAGGCCAGCCTGGTCTATAGAGATCCAGAACAGGCACCAAACGACACAGAGAAACCCTGTGTCGAAAAAAAACAAAAACAAAACAAAACAAAAAAATTTGTCCACATGAGACTCAAATTTCTTAATGGCAAAAATAGAGGAGGTGACAGGCAGACAATAAAGCCTTGTGACATTCACCTCCAAGAAGATGGAGCCCAGTTGTATTCATGCTGTAGTCTCAAGCCTACCCACGTTAGCAGCAGCCTGGATTCTTCCTGATAGCCATCAGAGAAGGGTACAGGTTTCTTCTTGCCTGCATCACCTCAAGCACCTCATTCAGGTGGGCCCCACACTTCGAACGCTCCCTCCCTAACCTGGCTAGGGGCCCAGGGCCCAGGGTGTCTTCCTTATGGCTGCTTCTTGTTGCCAGATATGCTTCCAGGGTAAAGGGCTCACTTTTCAGGGTGGTGTTGGGTACTTCTTGGCCGGGGCCCTCCTGGTTGCTTTCACCTCCTCTCCCGTGCTACGGTAAGCTCCTGGGAACAGCCGTACCTGTAGTTCCCTAGATCCCCACTCTGCCTGTTCTTTAGATCACTTTTTGTGCAGACCCCCTTGGCCACGTTACCGCTGTGTTTCCACAGCACTCTCACAAATCCTCCTTTCTGGAAAAGGAGGAACCCTGCCAGAGACAGTTTTCCGGCTTTCTTATGAAGGGGGCGAGGAAGGCTTACTTTGTGTGCCTGTGTGTGCAAGGGTGTGTTGTTAATACTCCTCTCTAACTGAAGAAGATGCCTTAGTAACAGTAACAGCCGTTGTGTGCTGGACTCTAGTTCTCACAACTGCCTGATGCAGGATCTGGTGTTATCCAGTATCGCAGGTAAAATAAAGGCCTCCAGAGTTACAGGAGCATGCCCAGATCCCACAGCTGGCTACCAGGCAGAGGCAGGGTTGCATGCCAGAGATCCCCTGTATGCAGAGTTCACTCTGCTCTGCTCACGCCTCTGGCTTTGTGTTTCCGCTCCTGAGACACATGCCTGCTCCTGGTCTGAATCTTGTGTTGTGAATAGGGATGGAGCCCATGCGAATCCCAGTATTCCTAGCGTAGTTCCGGCATACACTAGACTTCCATTCATGAGAGGCTTGCTGAATGAGCCTTCATTCCACTGTGCCCACGACATCAGAAGGATGACATGCCTTTCCATGATGATGTCTTCCCTGTGTCCTTCAGCTCTTCATATGCATTCCATAATTAACACTCCATTCGTATACTCATTCCGTAAATATTCATTGAGTGGCAGGGACCTAGAGACTCACTTAAGGGAGTTAACATTGAAGGTTTGGATTTCATTTTAGATGGGCCGTCAGACGTGAAACTCTGAGCTGTTCAGAACTGGTTCTGAGTAGCACACTGGGAAACAATGGGGAGTTTTTTATATCTGACAGCGCCTTTAGCATGACGTTCGGGTGAGCCTTTGTCGGTCAGGAAGAAAGTGTGGCCACAGTGGCTGGTTTACCAGGTGCCTTTGCTGCTTGCATCAGGCTAGGAGTTACCGTGTTATCTTTAACTCAGTTCTGTAGGCTAGTATAGACACTTGCAAATACTTCTGATAGTCGGGCGGTGGGGGCGCACGCCTTTAATCCCAGCACTCGGGAGGCAGAGGCAGGCAGAGCTCTGTGAGTTTGACGCCAGCCTGGGCTACAGAGTGAGTTCCAGGACAACCAGGGCTACACAGAGAAACACTGTCTCAAAAAACCAACCAACCCGCCAAAAAGCTGGTTAGGGCTTAAGGTGCAGCTCAGTAGTAGAGGGATTGCCTGGCACACACAAGGCCCTGGGTCCAATCTACACTACCAAAAAATGTATACCAACAAATGTTTTTCTGTAATTAAAAAAGAAAAAAGCCAGCAACAGCATTTTAGGATAGATTAGGATACCCAGGAGACTGATTGCGCAAATGTGGAAACTCAAATACTCCTAGAGAGCAGTAAGTGGAAATTAAGCATTTTTTTTTTTTAAAGATGTGTGTGTTTATATGTGGTTATTTGCATGTGAGTACAGGGCCCTGGGGAGCTGCAGTTACAGAGCTTGTGAGGATCTGACTTGGGCTCCAAGGACCCAGGTTCTCTGGAAGAGCATCAGTCCTAACCACTGAGCCATCTCTCCAGTCCTCCAAAGCAGGCATTTTTAAATTGAACCCAGGCCTGCTTCAATTCTATCTCGAATAGTCATGTACCCAGTGTTTCACCTCTTGTGTTGATCAAAACGATGCTTTCTTGGCGTGTTTGAGTTCTGAAGTGTGTGGGTTGTCATTAGTTTTTAGGTATCACGAAGCATGTGTTGTTACCACAGAGGAAGCTGGAGGTTCTGTGTGTTGTACAATACTTCACGGTCTAGGTGCAAGGTATTTAGTGTGACTTGACTTGCATTTTCTCTTTTGCTTTATGAATATGCTGCTGCCCTGTGCCTGGGTGTATACAGCTCATTGGGAGCATGTGTGATTAGCAGGTGTGAGGCCCGGGGTCCGCTCTCCAGTACTGTAAAATAATATAATCCACTTTATATGAAAGAACACTTACTCAAAGTCCCTTTGGGGTACTACTGTACTTTTAAAGACTTCTAGTGGAATCCAAGGAGTCATTCATGAGAACAGTACCTTTATGTGCAAACCCAACCTCTTCGTGGACCTGCCTTGGAAGAGCTGTTAGAGTGCTTTCTTTACTCTTCAGGGCTCTTTTTTAAGATTTTATTATGTACACAGTGTTCTGCCTCCATGTACACCTGCGGGCCAGAAGAGGGCACCAGATCTCATTACAGATGGTTGTGGGCCACCATGTGGTTTCCAGAATTGAGCCTGGGTCCTCTGGAAGAGCAGCCAGTGCTCTTAACCTCTGAGCCATCTCTCCAGCCCCGTCTTCGGGTTCTAAACACATTTTTCATTAGTCGAAACTTTTTTTTCCATTTTCTGTTGCAGTTTTCTTCCTGCTGATATTTTTACAGTAGAACATGCTTACTGCTTATTCCCCCCTGACGGGTGAACCTTTGAAAAGTATTTTTCCTTTCTTTCTTTTCTTAAGTCAGGGTCTCAAGTATCCCTCGCTGGCCTCAAGCTGGCTATGGAGCTGAAGGTGACTTTGAATCTGATCCTCCTGCCTCCACCTCCCAGATATTAGGTCTGCAGGTGTGCACTACCAATGCCCAGTGCTGAGGATCAAACCCAGGGCCTTGTGCATATTGGACAAATACAGCTGTGCTGCATCCTCAGCCTAAAAACACTGTTCTTTCCCTAAAACAGTGAAAAGTAAACCACTACTTTGTATGTAAAAGTGTCTTTGAGATACTTTGGAATTGTAGTAAGTACCTACTTAATCGTTAAATACACCAATCAATTATGTAATCTTAATTCTATACTTGAGAGTAATTTTGTAATTTCTGTCTTACAAATGAGGGACAGTGGTGGGCTGAAGGTTTAGCTACCTGTCTAGGCTAATCCAAATAGGGTAGATACAGATTGGGAAACAGGCTTTTCTTCCCATCCATTTTTAAATTTTAAATTAGGTGTATGTCTGTATCTGTGTTTCTGTGAATGTATCCCGTGTGTGCAGGTGCCCACAAAGGCCAGAGGAGGCTGGATCCCCAGAGGTGGAGTTACAGGGTGTCATGAGCCTCAGTCCTCTGGAAGAAGCTGCAAGTGCTCTTAACCTCTGAACCGTGCCTCCAGACCTTCCAGTCCATTAAGAATGTGTCTGATGTACGTGTGGGCGTGAGTACCATGGTCATGCGTGGAGTTCAGAGGACATGTACGTGTGGGCGTGAGTACCATGGTCATGCGTGGAGTTCAGAGGACATGTATGTGTAGGCGTGAGTACCATGGTCATGCGTGGAGTTCAGAGGACATGTATGTGTAGGCGTGAGTACCATGGTCATGCGTGGAGTTCAGAGGACATGTATGTGTAGGCGTGAGTACCATGGTCATGCGTGGAGTTCAGAGGACATGTATGTGTAGGCGTGAGTACCATGGTCATGTGTGGAGTTCAGAGGACATGTATGTGTGGGCGTGAGTACCATGGTCATGCGTGGAGTTCAGAGGACATGTATGTGTAGGCGTGAGTACCATGGTCATGTGTGGAGTTCAGAGGACATGTATGTGTGGGCGTGAGTACCATGATCATGTGTGGAGTTCAGAGGACATGTATGTGTGGGCGTGAGTACCATGGTCATGCGTGGAGTTCAGAGGACATGTATGTGTGGGCGTGAGTACCATGGTCATGTGTGGAGTTCAGAGGACATGTATGTGTAGGCGTGAATACCATGGTCATGCGTGGAGTTCAGAGGACATGTATGTGTGGGCATGAGTACCATGGTCATGTGTGGAGTTCAGAGGACATGTATGTGTAGGCGTGAGTACCATGGTCATGCGTGGAGTTCAGAGGACATGTATGTGTGGGCGTGAGTACCATGGTCATGCGTGGAGTTCAGAGGACATGTATGTGTGGGCGTGAGTACCATGGTCATGTGTGGAGTTCAGAGGACATGTATGTGTAGGCGTGAGTACCATGGTCATGTGTGGAGTTCAGAGGACATGTATGTGTAGGCATGAGTACCATGGTCATGCGTGGAGTTCAGAGGACATGTATGTGTAGGCGTGAGTACCATGGTCATGCGTGGAGTTCAGAGGACATGTATGTGTGGGCGTGAGTACCATGGTCATGTGTGGAGTTCAGAGGACATGTATGTGTGGGCTTGAGTACCATGGTCATGCGTGGAGTTCAGAGGACATGTATGTGTGGGCGTGAGTACCATGGTCATGCGTGGAGTTCAGAGGACATGTATGTGTGGGCGTGAGTACCATGATCATGTGTGGAGTTCAGAGGACATGTATGTGTAGGCGTGAGTACCATGGTCATGTGTGGAGTTCAGAGGACATGTATGTGTAGGCGTGAGTACCATGGTCATGTGTGGAGTTCAGAGGACATGTATGTGTAGGCGTGAGTACCATGGTCATGCGTGGAGTTCAGAGGACATGTATGTGTAGGCATGAGTACCATGATCATGTGTGGAGTTCAGAGGACATGTATGTGTAGGCATGAGTACCATGGTCATGCATGGAGTTCAGAGGACATGTATGTGTGGGCATGAGTACCATGGTCATGCGTGGAGTTCAGAGGACATGTATGTGTAGGCATGAGTACCATGGTCATGTGTGGAGTTCAGAGGACATGTATGTGTAGGCATGAGTACCATGATCATGTGTGGAGTTCAGAGGACATGTATGTGTAGGCATGAGTACCATGGTCATGTGTGGAGTTCAGAGGACATGTATGTGTAGGCTTGAGTACCATGGTCATGCATGGAGTTCAGAGGACATGTATGTGTAGGCATGAGTACCATGATCATGTGTGGAGTTCAGAGGACATGTATGTGTGGGCGTGAGTACCATGATCATGTGTGGAGTTCAGAGGACATGTATGTGTGGGCGTGAGTACCATGGTCATGCGTGGAGTTCAGAGGACATGTATGTGTAGGCATGAGTACCATGGTCATGTGTGGAGTTCAGAGGACATGTATGTGTGGGCGTGAGTACCATGGTCATGTGTGGAGTTCAGAGGACATGTATGTGTAGGCATGAGTACCATGATCATGTGTGGAGTTCAGAGGACATGTATGTGTAGGCTTGAGTACCATGGTCATGCGTGGAGTTCAGAGGACATGTATGTGTGGACGTGAGTACCATGGTCATGCGTGGAGTTCAGAGGACATGTATGTGTAGGCGTGAGTACCATGGTCATGTGTGGAGTTCAGAGGACATGTATGTGTGGGCATGAGTATTATGGTCTGTGTGTGTACGTGCTGGAGTCCCGCTCCAGTGAGCTCAGGTCCCAAGGAGAAGGTGTGGAGTCCCTGAGAGGAGACGACTGACACCTGAGAAACAAACCTCTAAGAGCAATTTCTTTCTTCAAAAGGCACGACATCGCATGTGTACCGTGTAGCGAACAGCGTCCAGCCATTTCCTGATTGCAGGCCTGTTCCTTCATTAGCTGGCCAAAGCGGGGACGGTCCTGAGGTCTCTTTTTCCATCTGTACCACACCATTCTGATTCCTTCAGTGCCTGCTTCTGTATATAGCAGAGGGGAGCAAAGCCAGTCTAACTTGTTAGCAGGATCTGCTCCGCAGGGGGCAGACCAGATCTTGCCACCAGTCCTGTCTGAACTCTTACCCTAAGTGGCCTCAGGCTCTGGGCCCGGGCCCATTGTTTCTACTCTGTGTTTTCCATCCCTGGGACCAGGTGTGCCCAGTTAGTAAATCTTTAACTTCTCTATTCCTGGGGTAAGACAGGGGCACAGTGGGGACTCTTGTGGGGGAATAGGCGGAGTTATCCTGCTACATGGTTCCACGGTGGTGGGGATTTTCTCCCGAAGAATTGTTTTGTTTAAAGAGACTGTTCTCATCCTTCACCAACGCTCACACAAAATTCCCAAAGGAAGCTCCCATAACACGGGGAGAATCATTAAAGATGAAAGCAAACGGTGCTGGAGAGTAGTGATCTGCGGTGTCGAAATGCCGGAACTTTGTCAAGCAGCAGTTTTGCTGTGCAGTCCGTCCGTCCGTCCGTCCGTCCGTCTGTCCGCACCACACATGGGTGCCAGTGGAGGCCGGAAGAGAGTGGAGGAGCTGGCGTTCAGGCAGTGGTTGGGAACGACCCCATGTGGGTGCTGGAAACCAAACCAATGTCCTCCGCAAGAGCTGGGAAGGCTCTCAAACACTGAGAGACATCTCTCCAGCTCCAAGGAAGTATATTTTATATATTTCTGATATTTCAGTGGTTTTTCTCTCCCTCCCTCCTCTCCCTTCCTGTCTGTTTTGGAGACAAGGTCTCACTCTAGACAGGATGACTTGAACTCCTGGGGCTAGAAGTTAAAGAGCGCTCATTCCTTGGGACACACAGGATCTGATGCCCGCGTCTGACCCCTTCAGGCACCAGGCATGCCTATGGTGCACATACATACATGTAGGCAAAATGCTCATACATACAAAATAGCACTTTTTTTATAATTTAAGAAAAAGTGTCTCAGTCTTTTTGGTTTTTCAAGACAGGGTTTCCCTGTGTAGCCCTAGCTATTGTGGAACTTACTCTGAGACCAGGGTGGTCTGGAACTCAGAGAGCTGCCTGCCTCTGCCTCCCAAGTGCTAGGATTAAAGGTTTGTGCCACCATGCCCAACCCGAGTGTTTCTGAGTTGCTCCTGGAAAAAAGAAATTACTGCACTTGAGTAAGGCCTTTGGAATAATTTAGTATAGCTACAGACCTTACTTTGCTTCATTCATTGCGAAGGACTTTGTCCTGGCCGCCTCCCCGCCCCCTCCCCAGGGTTCAGGTGAACCAAAGGAGCAGGGCCTAGCAGCTGCTTCTCCCCTGAACTGCCCTCTCTAGTCCAGCTTTCTGTGGTGGTGGTAGGCAAGTGCCTGCTGTGCTTAGAACAAAATACTCCTTGTATTGTTACATCGCTGTGTGCTGACACCTGAACCACTAGGACTGCCCGATGAGTCTCCAGTGAGCTGGTGCTGGCTTTTCCAGAGCAGATTATTCACCCGGTACATGCGATCACAGATGATGTTTAAAATCTTGGTAGATTGCTCATCTTCTAGGATTCAGGTTAAGCACCTCAGTAGAGGAGAAAAGCCTTTATGTAGCCTTTGGCGGGCTTCCAGATAAACAGCGCCTTTGCGGAGTCCTGCCCACTGTTCTTCCACCCTCGAGTGGAGCCGCCTCTGAGATGGCTTTTGTGTAACGTGAGCCTCCCTCGCCCACTGGAACGTAAATTAGCATGGCAGAAAAGGAGGCTGGGGGAAGGCTGGGGGAAGGCTGGGGCTGGAGCTGACCCCTGGCCGACCCGCAGCTGGGCCCCACTGGGGGCGTGGTCACGGGACGGGCTGGGGGCGGGGCCGCTCGCGCATGGGCAGGAGGCCTCGGCTCCAACTGTCCCCAGTCGCCACAACCGTCGCCGCCACCGTTAGCCCTCGGAGAGCTGTTGCCTGCGTGCCACCACCATGTCTAAAGGAGACGCTTCCCTGACTGGAGGCACAGAGAAAGGCGAGGAGCTGGTCGGAAGCCTGGGCTGGCGGTACCTGGTGAAGCAGGGGGAGGAGGAGGCCGAGGCGCTGAAGAAGGAGGAGGAGGAGGAGGAGGACTGTTGCTCGGACGACCTGAGTCCCGAGGCCCCGGGCATGCACCCGGACCTCCTGGAGCTGGCGGTGGACCGAGAGAAGTGCCGCAGCATCCGCAGGCAGTACCGGCAGCTCATCTACAATGTGCAGCAGAACCGGGAGGACATCGTGAACACGGCCAGCGACTCGCTGACCGAGGCCCTGGAGGAAGCCAACGTGCTGTTCGATGGAGTGAGCCGAACCAGAGAGGCAGCCCTCGACGCCCAGTTCCTGGTTTTGGCCTCGGATCTGGGTAAAGAAAAAGCAAAGCAGTTGAATTCTGATATGAGCTTTTTTAATCACGTTGCGTTCTGTGACTTGCTGCTGGTGTTTGTGGGCCTGAATTGGGTGGAAGACCAGTGTGAAGAGCTCAGCGACTGCGATGACAGCATGGCGCTTTCCTTCTGGGGGATGGTGCAGAAGGAAGCGACGACCTGGATGCTGCGAGCTGAGACGTTCCACTTCATTTTTGGTTCGTTTAAGGCAGAGCGTCGTGCACGAAAGCCCCGGCTTGAACATCACAAAAGGGCTTGCAAAATGGAAGGAAATGGAGATATGCCTACGAAGTTGAGGAAGCTGGACACGCATGCTAATCAGGAGACGACAGAAAAAGAAGTAGAAAGAATCTTGGGATTGCTGCAAACCTACTTTCAAAAGTACCCCGATACTCCAGTGTCGTATTTTGAGTTTGTGATTGATCCAAACTCATTCTCTCGCACTGTGGAGAATATCTTCTATGTTTCTTTCATTATAAGGGATGGCTTTGCGAGAATAAGGCTTGACCAAGACAGACTGCCGATATTAGAGCCGACTAATGTTAACCAGGCGGATGAAGAAAGTGATTCCTGTTCCTACGGCAGGAAGCAGGGAGTTATATCTTTGAGTTTACAGGACTGGAAAAATATTGTCTCCACTTTTGAAATTTCAGAGGCTATGATCAAAAACTCATACTAAAGGTTTTGTTTGTAGTGTATGACTCCGTCTTGTACTAGCATCTCAAAATAGATTCTAAACAGAAGCACATGTTCTAGTAAACTATTTTCCAGAACAAATGAAATTGTCTCCTTGCAGTGTATTTTTCTTGATATAACTTAGAAGGTTATAATCTTACTTAAAAATGGACTGTCGTGCTTAGGGGAAGTTTTTTGAAATCCACACCATACGTTTAGTAAGTTCTTGAGTTTCTTAGGAGGTATTAGCTGACTTGGTAAAAACAAAACCCAGGACTCTGATACTGAACTGCTTCTCACCGGGTGGGGAAAGAGTGAGAAAAAAGGGCAGTTGGTCAGTAGTCAGGCAGCATTAAGACTAAAAACATAGGTGGCATGCTTCCTTCCAAAAAGTGGATCTCCATACTCCAGTTTCCTTGATAAATGAGCTTAACGAGAGAAAGAGAGAGAGAGAGAGAGAGAGAGAGCGCATGTTAGACTCAAGCAACCAAGGCATCTTGGGTTTTTGTTTGTTTGTTCTGTCGTTTTGAGACAGGGTTTCACTTTGAAGCTCTGACTGTCCTAGAACTCAGATCCACCTGGACCTGCCTCTGCCTCCCACTTGCTGGGACTAAAGGTGTGCACCTCCATGCCCTTTGAGAAGGCATTCTTGGTAAGAAAACAAGGTCAAGTGTGTGGAATTGTGACAAGTGAGACATGAGAATGTGCAGAGTTAAAGAAACTTTTCTACTCGAATGTTAAGCTGAGCAGGAATCGTGACAACCTTCCCAGTCTTCTCAGAGGTAGATGATGTTTTTATCACACTCAGTAGCCTTGTCTTTACTGATCTCCCCACTGTTATTTCTGCATAGTGTCCTGAGGAATCAGTGCTGGTTCATCATGTAACAACTTGGGATAGTTGTCCCAATTGACCCTGATTAAAAAGTGTGTGTGTGTGTGTGTGGTGGGGGGGGGAGGCTGGAGAGATGGCTCAATGGCTGAGAGCACTGGCTGCTCTGCCAGAGGTCATGAGTTCAATTCCCAGCACCCACACGGTGGCTCACAACCATCTCTATGGGATGGTCTTTTCTGTCATGCAGGCACTACAATGCAAGTAGTGTGCATGATACGTAAATACGTAAATATTTTTTTTGTTGTTTTTCGAGACAGGGTTTCTCTGTGTAGCTTTGCGCCTTTCCTGGAACTCACTTGGTAGCCCAGGCTGGCCTCGAACTCACAGAGATCCTCCTGCCTCTGCCTCCCGAGTGCTGGGATTAAAGGCGTGCGCCACCACCGCCCGTCTACATATACGTAAATATTAAAAGCACAAACTCAAGAGGGTTTGCTCTGTATCTGGGCCTGTACAGCAGGATTTGTGAATTCTCCATCACCCCTCATGCTTGCACCGCAAACCCCGTTTCTTGTGGGCCTGGGTTGGATGGAGACAGGGCTCATTTGAGGAGTCGTGCTGACAGTATAGAAGATAACATTAAAGGAGGCACTGCTCCGGGTATTGCAAGTTGGGACCTCCTTTTAAGGTGTTTGCGTAATTTATAAGGTTTTTTTTTTTCCTGTCTTTGGTGCTTTGCGGTTTTAATAATGTAAATTACGGGACAACAGGGGATGTAGTTCAGTGGCTGAGTGCTTTCTTAGCTTGAGGACTGCCTTAGCTTCTGCCCTCAACATTAGTGGGGCGCGTGCGTGCGTGCGTGCATGTGAGTACGTGCGTGTGAGCGTGCGAATTATTTGGTGGTTGATACAGAAAATTTGGGTTATTAAAATAATTCCAGAAGAGGCAGCAGACATGCCCTGAGCTATTTTTATGGATGTAAGTCTTTGGTGGTGGAAAAGTCTGCCACTGATGTGGTTAGTGGTGTTTTTGTTATGCTTAATAGTAACAGTAAAATTTCCTACTAATCTAAGGAAGGAGGGGGTGGGGAGAGGAAATCCAGCGTCTAAGTGACACCCAGATTGAGAGGAGGGGGTCTTTTTTTTTTTTGGTTTTTCAAGACAGGGTTTCTCTGTGTAGCTTTGCGCCTTTGCTGGAACTCGCTTTGTAGACCAGGCTGGCCTCGAACTCACAGAGATCCGCCTGCCTCTGCCTCCCGAGTGCTTGGATTAAAGCCGTGCGCCACCACCGCCCAGCTGAGAGGAGGGGTCTTTGGTGGAGAAAGTTTTTATTATACCAGTAATGTATAGAGAATTCAGGAGAAAAACCCCAATGAGACAGACACTTTGTATAGCCGCTGTTTCCCCTTCGAACATGAAGACGTGCTCAGGCGTCAGCGCCGGCCATCCTTCAAGATGAAGGGCAGCATCGTCTGGTCTGACGAGCCTCATCCTGGCATCTCTCAGCCAGAGCCCTGGGCCCTTTGGGAGGTCAGCGTTGGGAAGAGAACATGCTGCTGGGTTACAAGATCCGACTCGGCTCCTTCCTCAGCAGACCGAATTGTCAATGCCTCTACCTGGTTGTGTTCTGACATGTAGACGGCTTGAAAACACGGTAGAAAATAAAGAGGCTTGGGAGAGGTTAGTTTTCTGATCAGGTGGGACGGGTGATTTTTTACTTTTTATTTTTATTTTTTTCGAGACAGGGTTTCTCTGTGTAGCTTTGTGCCTGTCCTAGAACTGACTCTTTCATCTCTGCATTGGCTCTGTGTTTCTTATTTAACAAGACCGTTCTTCTATACTCTGTAGCCCAGGCTGGCCTCGAACTCGAGAGTACTGGGATTAAAGGTGTGTACCACCACCGCCCGGCTTTTATTTTTATTTTTTTTTATATTATCACTCTGGGCTCTTGCTTTTGCTTTTACTAGTTGTAATATTACACGGTTTGTTGCATTATTTTGGATTCAAAGTAGGGACCTTGGAAAAAGAATTGAGCAATAGAAGACAAATTCAGTTATAGAAATGAACTGAATTGTCAAGGTCCAGTAAAAGAAGCTCACTCTAAGGAGGAAGTTTACGGGTTTTGTTTTAAAGTTAGAATTCTGATGGCACCAGGCACATGTGGTACACATACGCACAGGCAAAACACTCAAAATCTAAAGCAAGATTACAGGATTAAACTAGAAAAAATGTATGTGATTATAGTTACTAGGTGTGATGTATTGGGAAAAGCAAGAGATTAAAGAAAGATGTGTTTGAATGTTGTGTGTGTGTGTGTGCACATGCGCGCACATACTTGTAATCTCTTTTTTTTTGTTTTTTCCTTGAGACAAGATCTTGCTCTGTAGACCAAGCTGGCCCCAGATTCACGGAGCTCCACCTGCCTGTCTCCCAAGCGCTGGCATTAAAGGCATGTGCCACCATAAAGGGGCAGCTTTTGAAAGTTGTTTCGTTTACTGTGTGATCGATCTGGGGATTGAACTCAGGGAGTCAAGGTTTGTGCAGCTAGCGCTTTTACTGATTTCGCCACCGCGGAAGCTTCTCCCGTATTTTTTTTAAAGCCATTTAAATTAATTAGTTAATTTGATGTGCCTGGCCATTTGGAGGTCAGAAGACAGCTTTTGGGAGTTGGTTCTTTTTCCATCTGTGGTCCCAGAGATTAAACTTGAGTTTGGTGGCAGGTGACTTTATCTGTTGATTGATCTCACCAGCTTGGGCAAGTTTAGTGCTGTAGCCTGTCATAGCTGAAACAGAGATGACAACTGGCTTGGATTTGATGGGATTTAATGTGCACAAACATGTCTAGCACAGTATTTGTCTCATTGTGGACACTCAGTCCATTGCACGGTGCCACCTACTTCTGTGTTGGAGACTCAGTAATGGAGTCTCACGCTTTGTAAGTAACTTCCTTCCCTTTGTTCTGGGGGAATCTGTTGACAACTGATTGTAACATGCACACGGCTAACTGACTCAACTGTACCAGGCACTGCGGGGGTTGCCGGAGGAGAATGGTAGAGCATGCTCCATCCAGAATGTGATTTACAGTGTCCTGGCTGTGCTGATTTCCTTCTGCTGCGTAACAAATCGCCAAACACCCAATAGCTTTAGACAGCACTACCGTAGCAGTCTTGGAGGCTGGATGTCCAACAAAAATGGGTTTGGCTAGACCAAAATCGGGACACAGACAGCTCTGGTTCCTGTCTTGGGGAGCTGTTCTCATTGGATTACATTTTGAGTGGGAATCTATTTAGTTGGCGCTGAATGATCGCTAGTTCAATTTTAAGTAGGGTTAAAATGAAAGTGTAGTGTTCAGTTCTAGGGTCAGCTGAATGCTTCAGCTGTTCACATTGGCCAGTTAAATCTTAAAGATTCAAGCTCCTGTGGCATACTTTTTTGTTTTTGTTAAAAGTTAGTTGATATAATTTGATTTAAAGCTTGAACTGTAAAAATCCATTAGATACAGAATTTTGGTAAAGAATACTTCATAAACTATTTTAGTTAGAGTTTCTATTGCTGTGAAGAGACACCGTGACCATGACAACTCTTATAAAGGAGAACATTTAATTGGGGCTGGCTTACAGTTCAGCAGTTTAGTCCATTGTCATCATGGCGGGAAGCGTGGCTCAGCAGACGGACATGGTGCGGGAGAAGGAGCTGAGAGTTCTACATCCCAGTTGCCAAGTAGGAAGAGAGTGCCACCCTGAGCCTGGCTTGAGCTTCGGAGACCTCAAAGCCCATCCCCATAGTTCCTCAACAAGGCCACACCTCCTGATAGTACCACTCCCTGTGAGTCCCTAGGGGCCATTTCCTTTCAAACCACCACATAAACCTTTGGAAGAGGGAGGGTGTGGCCTTTTAGAATATATTTGTTCTCGCTTAGGTGTATTGCAAAAGGTTGGTTTCAAGGGCAAGAGGTTTTTATTTTTCTGTTGTGTACCTGTTTGTCCTAAGAACATGCAGTTAAAATGAATTTGAGATTCTAATAGTTATTTTTTAAGTAAAATTTTTATTTATGGGGTTTCAAGTGTGATTCCTTTGCTGTCCATTGAGGTCAAGATTTCTAAGATAGCCGTTTCTCAAAGACCAAATGCTTAATCTAGCTGTCATCAGCCCCTAGCTATGATTTTTTTATCCTAGTGAATCAGAGACAGACATGTTCATGACAGCTTCAGAGTGCTCCGTTGGGGGCCTTTGGCTTCCAATTTCTTCAGTTTACTTTAGGATAGATCTTCCTCTACTTGATGACATCTGGTCTTTTTAAGAATGAGTTCAGATCACATTCATTCCTATCCCATTCAGCATACCGTGGGTATGTATGTGGGATATGCCATTGTTACATGGAAACATGCGTCCATTCACAAAGACAGGTATCTTCGGATTGGATCTCATGTTCCACGTAAGGGGATCTTCATCCGTCGAGGGAAAATGGGAACGCTGATCTGTATACCTTTGATTTCTCAATGACTGTACTTTAAAATGATGACCCCAGGATCGGCACCGTCATCCCCTTGTGCTGTCCTCTATCTCCATGTTCTTACGTGTCATTCTGAACAGTGGTTCCAGAAGAGGATTGACTTTTGTGCCTGTCTTTTGTTCACCAGTTGAACAAAAGCCACACCCAAGTGCTGTCGGTTATTATTACTTTGTTTTTATGTGTATGATGTTTGTCTGCATGTATGTCTGTGCATAGCTTGTGTGCCTGGTGCCTGTGGAGTAACAAGACAATTGTGAGCTGCCATGTGGGTGCTGGGAATTGAACCTAGGTCCTTTGGAAGAGCAGCTGGTGTTTTTAACCACAGAACCATAACTCCTCTCCATTTTTTTAAAACGATTTTTAAGTGTGTGTGTGTGTGTGTGTGTGTGTGTGTGTGTGTGTGTGTGTGTGTGTGTGTAAACTGGTGTCTGGGAATCAGACTCTACAAGAACGGGACACTGAACTACTGGTCCATTCATTGCCTCAGCCACACAATGGTTTGTTTGTTTGTTTTTGTTTTTTGTAGGCAGGGTTTCTCTGTGTAACAGTCCTGGCTGTCCTGGAACTTGCTCTGTAGACCAGGCTAGCCTCAAACTCACAGAGATCCTCCTGCCTCTGCCTCCCAAGTGCTGGGATTAAAGGCGTCCGCCACCACCTGGCAACAGTGGTTATTTTTTAAGAACATCTGTTTAAGTTTTTTGTTTACCCTTTAAAACCAACAGATGAGCCTCATGCTTTTGGTGACCCCCCGGGATGAGTCATGCTGGTCATCTGGCGTACTTTGATCTGAGGGGCTGTTACTACCAGCTTGTTTTTCCCCACAGTGCTCTGCATTGAAGGAGAAGCTTTGGTCATCATGCCAGCTCACGAATGCTGGCTGTGCTTCCCAGCTTCTCGAGGTAGACCTTTTGTGCAGACGGTCTGGGTGGCGCAGACTTGCCCCAACTGTTGCTGGTTTCCAGGTTTCCTCCCTCCAGCCCCCCGGCCACTGTGTGCGCCCCGGCTGCAGCTGAGAGGCACCCATGGGGCTGTGCTTCCTTCTTCACACTCCTCCACGGCACCCCCCTCCAAATCCCAGACGCCCTGTTCTACTGACCCCCGTCTCTGCCCTCCACCCTCCACACCTGATTGTAGGCAGGAGAAAAACACGCAGTCTGGGCTGGTAAGTGTGGGGGTGTCTAGTTACTGAGGGTAGAACTGGATTTAAACATGTTTTTATTGTACTTACTGACTTTTCAGTCATTATGGTCACTAGCCCAGGGTTTTATTATAAGGTAGTAGTGAATGTATTGTTAAAACAGTGTGAATGTAGCTAGTTACATATAAAGCTAATGTGTGTACACTAGAATGGAAAGATATTTACAATTTTTCCTTGGTACCTGTTTTTGAAGTCTGATACATGCAAATACTGAAACAGAAACGAAACAGAACTTTAGCTGTGCATGCTAAAGTGATGAGCTTCATGGAGTCCTACCTTCTCCTGCCTGGTTAAATGTCCCACGAGGGCTGGGCGGTAGAGTGCATGCATAAGACCGTGACTTTGAGGCTGAGCGTGGTTGTGTCCACCTTTAATCCCAGCACTTGGGAGGCAGTGGCAGGTCTGTATAGGGAGTTCCAGGAGACCCAGAGCTACATAGTGAGACACTGTGTCATAAAACAAAATCCCCCAGCCTATAGAATACCTTGTAGAGGCAGAGACATTTAACTTACATGTCGATCAATACTGGTTAGTGATTTTTCTGACATTTTAGGTTTTTGCATTTCAACCACACAATGTAATAAAGTCCCAAATCTTGGCCCACTTTGCACTTGCTGTGTTAACATCATTGTGTTCGCTGTTTCCCAGACTCCCTTCTTAGCCTAGGACCTTAACCCACTGATTGTTTTTACTGGAAAGTAAAGGTGATTGCCAAATTCCGTTGCTGGCGGCACTATTAAAAACATGCTGGGCAGTTATATCTAATAGTCTCACACTGCAATTGGGAGAATTTCAGTAGAAGTTTTCTGTTTCTGTGTTTTGTTTTCCTCATAGTGAGAGAAACCTAATTTAAAACCTAGTTTAAAAACTCCAGGAAGGGCTGGTGAGATATGGCTGAGCAGGTAAGTCACCAAGCTGATAAACTTACTCCAGCAGATTTTCCTCTGATTTCCACAACCATGCTGTGGCAGGCTCCCTCCCCTACAAATAAATAAATAAGTAAATATAACCAGGTAAGAAAAAACCAAAAAATCCGGGGCAGTCAGTATGAAAATATCGGTGAAACCCATTTTGTGTAATTAATACGTGCTTGTAAAACACTGAATTCTGGAGAGAGAAGTGTTAATCCATCTTTGTTTAGATGTTAGTCGGTTTGGATAGGCTGTCAGTATGTGGAGTTGTGTGGACACTTAAGAGTAGGTAGCAGGAGTGGGGAAGGGCACTGGGATGCAGGATCGGCGATCCTGGCCTTGATGAAAAGAAGCACTGGTCCCCTTCAGGAAGGCTGGATGTTTGTACGTGGAGCTGCAGTGAGAGTCGACATTTTCCTTGAAAATGACCTTTGCTTTTCTTGAAAGAAAGATTTCCAAAGCTTTTTGGACATTGCTGCTTTTCAGTTCAATTCTTTTCCTTTATGTTGTTTTCCTGCAGCCACATCAGAAAGGCCAACTTCAGACGCTGCCGACAATGAATGGTTCCAAAGACCCGCCCGGGTCCTACGACTTCGACCTCATCATCATTGGAGGAGGCTCCGGAGGACTGGCGGCAGCTAAGGCAAGGAAGGCCCTCTGTGCTGTGGCGTCCGTCGGGGCGATGGTTCGGACGCAGTGACGCTGCAGTGACGCTGCAGTGACGCTGCAGTGACGCTGCAGTGACGCTGCAGTGACGCTGCAGTGACGCAGTGCTCCTACCCCTGGCTGTTCCACACTCTGGATTTGCCCCAGACAGGCTTGTGTTTTCCCATTGACTTAGGCGTCTATTAGACATATAAAGGGACCACTTTGTAAGTCACTTTCCAGACTAAATGTTGGCCCTTCAGGTAAAGTTCAGAGCCCAGGGGTTTAAGGCACACTTTGTTTCATTCTAAATTTGCTTGTTTTTTTTTCTTTTCAAGGACAGTAAAGGTGTATGGAAATGGTTTGAAGTTACATACTTTTGTTTTGTTTTGTTTAGTTTTGTTTTTTGGTTTCTCGAGACAGGGTGTCTCTGTGTAGTTTTGGTGCCCATCCTGGATCTCGCTCTGTAGACCAGGCTGGCCTTGAACTCACAGAGATCCGCCTGGCTCTGCCACCTGAGTGCTGGGATTAAAGGCGTACACCACTGCAGCCCAGCTGTTTTTTGATTTTTTAAAAACATTTGATCTTTTTCACTTTGATTTCTCTGTAATTAATCTTCAATGAACAGTTAGTTCTTAAACTTAATCAAAACTGATTTGCCTCTGGTGTGTGTGGGGTGATTTGAGAATAACTGGTTCAGGGCCTGACTGGGAAAGGCTCTGAAAATAGGAAAGCCGCTTAAGTGTGAGGCTCTGGCCCTGGCTTGAGGTACAGGAGATGCCTGTGTGACGGCCCTCAGGCCTGCCATCCTTCCTGCAGGATCTCTGACAAAGGTGCCTCCTGTGGTCAGCCTGTGAAGGTGATCTCATGCACCTCCCACATCAGGAGCAGGCGGGTATCTGGCATGAAGCAGGGCTTTGCTAAAGGTGACTCAGCAGTAGCACCTGTGTTTCCTTCTCTGATGGTGGCGTGTTTGAAGGACACACGGCCTCAGTCCTTGCTCTCCAGTAGACCATGCTTACTCTGTGAGAACAATGGTCTCTACAAGGCAGTTCCAGAAAAACAAAACCGAAGCCCCCTCCAGTACGCTGGCTTAGACAGAAGTGGGTAATACTTAGTTTTCAGGTGTTGCCTTCCGGGGAACAGGGTGAGGCAGACGCCTTGGGCCTTACCAAGTGTTTACCATTTAGATCTGTGCTGTGTCTGTTAGTGTTTGAGAGGAATTGTGCAGAGGTCATCCAAGGGCTGCCAGCTCTAACGATTTTTCAGTTATAATCTGTGTAATCTTTGTCTTAGCCTGTCCTACCGCTGAGCTAATCAACAGTGCAGGGTTCCCACACATTGATCTGTGATTGGTTGTGCCTTAGAGCGTGAGGGCCAGCCCCTATTTCCATCCTGTTGTTAACTCATTTTAATAATTCTCTTTCCCAGGAGGCAGCCAGATTTGACAAGAAGGTGCTGGTCTTGGATTTCGTCACACCAACTCCTCTTGGCACCAGATGGGGTGAGTTTCTGAGCTACTGCACACGTGGTTTGTCCTTTCCCCTGGCAGTGACATTGATGACTCCTAAAGCCCAGCTCTTCATGAGAACTGAGCTAAATGCTGTAGATTTAGGTTCAGCAGAAACCCTGACCACCAGCTGGCCAAGGTGACAGACATTTCATGATCTCTTCTACAGTGGAGCATTCTCCCCTAAATCCACCTTACACCTGAATAAGTCAGCTGTAGCCATTCTGCGTCTTGGTGAATGATATATTGGCTGCTCATTCATTGACTGTGTGTCAGTTCCTTGTGAAGCAGGGCATGGGCTGTAGTGGTGCCCTCGCTGTGGAAGAAGTTCCTGTCCCTGTGGGACTTCTCCTATAGTGGGAAACGAAAGATAAGCGAGCCCTTTGCTGTTAGTGGAGAGGGTACTCTAGGAGGGGCCTCTGGGGTAGAGGAGAGCTTAGCTGTGCCATTTGTAAGGCAGGGTTTGTGAAGAAGTGCCCTCTAGAAGCACTGCGGGAGAAATGGGGTGGATGTGCTAAAAGCTGAAGCGGAAATCAGGCAGTGTTTGCTACATTCTCACAGAGTAGATTCATAGGTCTGGAGGCAGGTAAGCGTCCTTTGTGGGTATAGTTGGGTAGTTGGAGCTGGATGTAATAAGAAGTAAAAGTGGGAAGGAAGGCGGGTCAAACTGGACAGCACTTTCCAGGACAAGTTGAGGACTTTGGACCAATGAAGGCAGATAATGGGCTCATTTAGAGAAGTGACTGGTACACTTTATAAAGAGGACTCGGCTCCCCGCATTAGCAGTAGCGGGTGGTAGTGTAGCCAGACACAGTGGCATCGCAGCCTGTTAACTCATCCAGCCAGCGCATGATTGGTGTTCCACACTCCAGGGGTGCGGATCTTGGTGCTGGATTCATTCCCTGACCTGTGAGTTAGGACCTCATGGTGATTCTGTGGTGGTGTTCTCCTCAGAAGACATACCTTTGAACTGTGAGCTCCCTAGCCACTTCCCCTCTCCACCTGCATTTTGTTCTGATGGAAATAAGTGATCACACTCTTCTCTCAGCTTAGAGATGACTGTTTTGGGAGAGAGGAGTTTTAACATAGGAGTTCTGTGGAGAATCCCTAAAAACTACAGGCTGCTTCCTCAAAAACTCTATCACAGAGACACCAAATTTTATACACATTTTCAGATCTGCACATAACCATGTTTAGTATAACAACCTCTTCTTTATTTCTGTGTGTAGATTTAGTAGCAAGTATAGCGTTACACACATAGTAAAATTTCAATTTTTGTGTCACTGTCAGCCTTTTGAATCTGAAAGTTATAGAAACTGTGGAAATCTGTCTGTTTTGTTTCAGGATGACAACTGTCCTCTGTACATAGGCTCTATGACATTAGAAATGCCAGGAGACTTGGGAACAGACTTTAACAGTGTTGGCCACACTGAGCAATAATAATAATAATAATAATAATAATAATAATAGCGTCTCATTACATCTTAATAATCTTTGGCTTCTTTGAAGGTCCTGAAGTGGGTATGAACTGACTTCTCTGGTGTTGCA